GCTCTTCCTTTGTATTTCACTTAGTGTAATGTGATCTTTTTGGTTATACCTATGTTCTTTCTTGATCTTGATGTTGGTTATAAAGGACGGATTATCTGCATTAATGGCCTCGGGAAAGAAAAAGCAGCGTGAATGAATCGTTAGGTTTTTTTTTTTTTTTTAATACAAAATACTGAAAACTAATTGTGCTGAACTGAATCCTTGAGGCTGGCAGTATTCGTGTCACCAGGCTAGAACTCTTTGCAGCTTCTATGAATGTTCAGGGACTGAAAACAAGTAACACATAACATTCTGTTAAAATTCATGGAGAATATTATACTAACGTGCCGGTCTTCAAATAGATGGTGATCACATGCCATCAACATGATGTTACAACATGGTATTTTCCCTAAAACGTGCTGTTTTAAACCCTGTGTATTTATACTCTAAATGTTTCCTGAAAAATGTATTTTAAGTACTAGGTTTAGTAAAAGTAAGATGTTAAATCTGTATTATGTAGAAACGGAGATAAATTTTAGTTGAAGTAGCTAATTCTGGCCATTTGTGAACTCCCAGTTTCCTCAGAAAAACATGCCTGTGTAGTATTAATTAATGCTTCAGAAAACTGGATTCTCAGTCTGAAAAACACCTTTGTGCAGATTCCATTATTCATAAACAAATTCGTGTCAAGCAGCCATAAAAATTTTCATACTTAAATGAAAAGTAATGAATGCCCTCATGGAGGGTTTTGAATATTAAAGCATTTTAAAGTTGATTCAGTGTGTGATTCTTTAAAATCAGATTGTAGCCCCGTACTTGCTCAGAGGCAAAGCTAACCATTCCTTTGCGAGGTGTGCTTGTGTTGCAGTCTGAAATGACAAGCTAAGTGGGATATCACTTCTGATGTTTTACAGATGTGCTCCGAATAGTTTATACACTTCAGAGATGAATATTGTCAACATAAAAGTGTCAAAGGCATATCTTCTAAAAAGTAGCTGGGGGATAAATAAACTATTCCTGCTGTGTTTTGCCACGTGAAAAGGAGGAGTTCAGCCAATGCATTCAACCGTTTAAAAAGATCTGAATGCAGAATGTTTTAAACGTTCTAGTTCAAGCAAAATATTTCTCTCCAGGGATTAATATGAGAGTGAGTTGGAATTTTTTTCAGATAACATGTGCCTGCTAAAGAGATGAAAAGTAGGCCTGACAGACAGTTTTAAATATTATAGCACCTTATGTGCCTATGAATTGTACCAGTTTTACTTTGCTATACCTCTAGTGACTGCAAAAAATTTGCTCCTGCATTTTATCAGCATGACAGGAGATTCAGACTTAATTTCTGAAGGCATAAAATACATACCTGAACAGTCCATATAATCCTTCTTTCAGAGCGTTCTTCGAACAATCATTGAGGTTATTTACCAAAAACTGCAATCAGAAACTTTGATAAATACAAATAACAGAAGTCTTACTGAAACGTGGAGAATAACTATTTGCTTCCATGTGAACATATGGCTAATCATTCCTCTGAAATCTTATTGTGAGAGTTGATATTTCTTGTCTTACAGGTTTCTCCAGTGCCTCCCAAGGTAAAGGGTCTTCCACTTTTCTGAAGGGATTTTGACAGAAGTAAGCTGTAAGAGAAAACTTCCTGCAAGATAGATGACTAAAGGTAACGGAGAAGATCCAAAAACTGGAACTAGGATGGAACGCTTTCAACAAGGAGTCCGGAAACGTACACTTTTGGCCAAAAAAAAGGTGCAGAGCATAACAAAGGATGATGTTAAAAGTTATTTATTGAGGAACGCCTTTGTGCTCTTCACTGTTGTTGCTGTGATTCTCGGTGAGTAATTTGTTCATTAGGAATATTCCAATGCTTTTGACAATGACAATTTGCATTACAAATGAGATCCCAAATTCTTCTGTGCTGATAAGAATGTTCTGGCTTGGAGAGTTTGGGCTTTGACAGCTGCATGTTGATGTTTTGGGAAGAGCCATTTTAATTATTCCAATATTCCTAAGGAGAATTTTAGCGAAAGAAATTAGCTGTTATGGATTCTTCTCTTAAAAAAAAAATCAGAAACAATAACTATATTGAATGTTCTCAAGAAAAATCGTATTCTGCTGAAAACAGCTGCAGCATAATGCTCAGGATATAAATTTTACTTCCGTAATCTATCCAAATTAACATTTTGCAATGACAACCAGGAGTCCTCAGTGAATGAAATGGAAATTAAAAGGTTACTTATTTCTGAGCTAAATTAAATACTAGAGCATCGATCTTTTCACTCTTCCCTTGTCAAAGGCAAAACAACAACCAAACCTAAGCACAAGCTTATCCTCTCTCAGTTGCTCACAATCTTACACATGCATCTTTCAGATGCAGTTAAGGAAACAATAGAAATGCAACTTGTTTAAAGGACTGCAAGATAGCATCTGATTAGATGCCTTTTCAGGGTGTACGGAGGGAAATCCAGAACAAACAACAGCATTTAGATTTGGAATGCACGAAAATGTTAACTTAAAATAGAGTATTTTGAATGTATATTAGAGAGTCATCTGAGAAAAACATATAATTTTTTTTACCAAAATTTGCTTTATAAAATTATGGGATCATTTTTGGTCATTTTCGTTAACTTCGGATTAATTTTCTAAATGACACCATATGTTTTATGAAATAGCATTGCTTATAATGTGAGTAGAAACATTATGACTTTCCCTTACTATTTTTTTTTCCAATCAATTTAAAATATAAAACTGTGCATCTGCTCAACAAAACCCAAATGTTAGCATCTACATATAAGGGTACATATCCTACACCTACATAGGTCCTAATGTCCATGATGAGGCTGTTCCATATGAATTTGCATGCCCTGTTTCCAAATCTTTTTTGAGAATTAGACATTTTAGGGCTTAACCATTATCATTGTTTGATACCATATCTGCAGGGTTATTTTAAATTAATTGCAGTTTTCATGGTCTTTCTGGGAGAGAAAGTAATAATTTACATATGGGTAAAATAAAGTATTTTGCTGCTATAACAGAAATATCATTCTCTCATATTTTATCAACAGTATTTGAACACAAATGCTTTTCGTTCCCAAATAAGAATTTGTGTGATGTAAAAAAAAAAAACCCTACATTATTATCAGGGTATAAAATTTAGGCATTTTATCTACAGTGTTCAGGAGAGGCAGAACAAACTAAGCAGGTTTTTAAACATTGTCTGATTTCAAAGCAATACGGTTCTTAGATTGCCATCGGTCTGTAGCGGACAACAGGACCAAAGCACTCGTGCTATTTTCTCACTATCGTCTAGCTCCGACGTGACTCCCATCAGACTGGCAATGTGGGAACAGAAACGTAGGCTGGACAAGTGTTTTTACTGTAACTGCATGTTCCAATTGGCTTTAGATAACTGGTGACAAACGTCTGCCCACGGCTCCACTGCCATCTGCAGCAATGGCAGAGTACCAGTAAAGCTAGAGCACGAGTCGGAGGATTGACGGAAACGTGCAGCACAGGGTGAACCAGACGCGCAAATTTGGCTCGTGAACCTAGAGGCGTACCTGGTGTACGACCTGGAAAAGAACCCTCTCGTTACTGTGATGGAATATTCCACAATTTTCTTGCATTTGTTTTTTGTGGTGTAATTTTATGGATTGCTTGTAAAAAGGTAAAACTTGTCTTTTTGGAGGGTTTTTTGCTGTTGTGGAAATATTCACGAGTAAGGAACGGTTGGCTGAAGAGTTTGGAACAAACAGTCAGTGGTTGAACTGCATCTGTCCAGTTTGGCAAGAACTGAAATGTTGTCGTCTCTCAGTTGTTTGGGGACCTATGGAAAATCAGATGGTGGGCTTGATCCGCTTCCTAGCGGACAGTAATCAACAGCATTGCAAAATTAACCCAGCAATTAGCACCGCTGACTGCGTCATCAGAGATGCCTGAATGTGTATGTAGATGGAAACCGAACTGTACTCAGGTCAGGGTTGAATCGCTTACAAGAAATAATGCTCAGTGATGCTGTCTGTAATCTACACAGACCGAGGATATCAGTTTCTAGGGCTGTTAGTCCAACAGTTTGCATAAGGCTAAACTCAGCAAAAGCAAAATTTAAGCTTAAAGGAGAGTAACAGTGCTTCAGAAACATTTCCTTCAAGCCTCTGTTGTCAAGGGACTGAGATGAAAAAGCCTATTTAGCAGAGCATTTCCGACTTCTTTGCTGCACAGGATTGATGCTGGTAGAGGTTAAGTGGTTAGGATCATATGTCTTAGCCCTGTTTCAGGACTGTAGCTTATAAGCGGCACTTGAGTTTGTCAGTTGTGTCTATGGAGGCATGCACTGTGTTATGAAGGGAGTAGCTGCAACATGCATTTGTTTGTTTTGCGTACTTATATTTTGTAGACAGAGCAGAGATTATCTGGCATTCACATGATGAAGAAGAACCGTTTTTTCCTAACTTCTGCTGTTACTCTGATGAAAACTGAGTTTACTAGCTGCTACAATACAAAAATGATAAAGCTTTAAAAATCTAATTATGAAGGTACCGGAAGGATAAGAATTAGGTATGTACTATTGGCTATTTTCTAAAAACCTCAGGAAAGAGCCTTCTGACTTCATATTTTGCTTAGGTAGGGTTGGTCTAGCATATCATCATCATCATCGTTGTTGTTGGTTCTTTCTGATGTAATTTAAACTGCTTTCAGGCCCTTTGAGAAACTTTGAGAAAAGCATGGTCAACAAAGTGAGTTATGATGAAGTCTTTCAGATTCTGCTTGCACACCTAGAAACAGTAAATTAGGTTTTTTACAGTGGATCTTGGCAATAACCAGTAGACCAGAACTGCGTGAGGTGGATTCAGGAAGCCAGCCCGCTGGTGAGTTTCGAACGTCAGAACGACCCGCAGCAGTTCAAGGTAGGCGAGAGGTCTTGATGGCTCATGGAACGTGTGCAGCAAGTCTTACAAACTTTGAAGTGCTAGTCAAATTACTAGCAACATCTCAGTGGCTGCCCTCCCTCCTGTGCTGCTTAGCTTCACTACCCTGTCTCCAAAATGCCTGCTTTTCAGCCACCCTTCCTTTAGCAGGCTCTCTTGATTCTCTGCTTCCTATCTTCCTTTTTCCAAAAATGGCATAGAAGTCCAGACTTTACTCTGGCAAGATTTCTAAATGCCCCAGAAAATCCTGTGGATTCTGACACTTGCACTGAAGGAAAGATCAAGATACAGAGAGATCATGAGAAGCTCTCTACGGAGGAATACTGTTTTAACTGAAACACCCAGTGATGCAGAGCGAGGTTGTGGAGCAAGAAATACAATTTTGTTTCTGCAAAACTGTGAAGCTGCCATGGTGCCAAAACTTCAGCTAAAATCCTCTTTACACTGCCAAAGTTAAATGCTGTAGTTGTCCACTGGGATATTCAAGGGGACAGAGATGGGTCCAGGTCTGGGAGCCTGTTCTGATTTCTGGCTACCCGTCCACCTGGAGCACAGGGCTGGCTGTGTCATGAAAGACAGTCCCTGCTAATTGCTGGTAATGTCACCATAGATGTAATATTTAGATTGGCCCATAAATCTATCCCAGAACCACCACACAAGCCATATGTAGGATGTCAAAACTTTTTAGCATCCTTAAAGTAACAAGTTAAAAATACAGGAAAAGGACAGGAGAGATGATGGGATTACCAGCGTCCCTATGTCCCTGAAACAGCAAACAGTTAAGTAAAGCCTTTAGATGATCCTTCATGCTACACAAAAAAAAAAAAACCTAGACGACCTGAACAGTGAAAAGCCGTGCAGAGCAGCAGATTCTCCTATCTCAACACACTACTTGTCTGAACAATAATTTAAAATGAGTCCTAAGAAGATACAAGTCTCTAATACGCAGGTAGACAGAACCCCTGGATAGCACTCACAACACTTTTGTGTTGAAACCGATCTTTTCTGCTACTGGCAGATCCTCAGTATCCACTGAAGACTGAGAATGACATACCCAGAGAAGGGTATTTGACCCCGTTACACACTGACTATGAACATTGTGACAGTGTTTAAGGCAATCTTGGTAAAATTTGCATGAGAACAAAACAAAGATCCATCATGGTAGGAGAAAAAGCTGTGGGAGGCAAGTCCTAGGTGAGAGAGCATGGTAAAACATAAAGACAGAAATCCAGTATCACACACAGAGTTAAGAAATACACAAGAAAATCAAGATAGTTGAGGGACAACTAGGGAAAAATTAATTCCGTTTTTGCTGAACTCAGAAGCTCTCTCTGTCCCTATGCTCTCCTAAAGAACCTGCACAGCACAAATGCTCTTTCACACTGAGTGATTGCAATCTTCCTACTAATACCTTAAAAACATCGCTAAGCAAAACCTTAATTCTATTTGAAGTTAAGAAATATATACAATTTGGGGAAAAAATGTAAAAAGAGCTGTTAATGTCCTTAAAACAGAGTAACTTAAAAATTCAAAATTGATGATCCCTTATAAAAAGTACAGAAATAGTCAAAGAACTTTAACTCTGCTATTAACAAGCTAGTAATAAGAAACTCAGACTGTGAAATATTAATAGCACACTAGTTTAGCAGCTACTTGCAAAAAAAGAATTACAGAAAGTTATTACCATAATCTTAATTTCTTATTGTACACTCCAGTGTTATTGAAATGAAACAACACTGGTTCTTGGACTGCCATACATAGCACAGAGTAGCAATACACTCGGCTACTTTGTGAATCACAACTGTACGTCTTGGGACAGTGACTACAGAGATATTAGGAAAGGTACAAAATGCCCTAAAAGCATAACTTTACTACTGTCTTATTTATCTTATCTGTTAAATTGTCA